CATGACGTGTTCTACGTTGGTTGATCTCATCCCGGACAGAAAGCCTCTCGCAAAGATAGTCGGGCTCACGGAGAGTCAGTACCCTGCTCACAGTAACTGATCCCGACTATCTTTGCGAGATGCTTTCTGTCCGGGATTACTGAATGACTAAATTCAGCACGTCAAAGAAATGCACAAGGCTTCCATGGACAACAGAGCAGATGCTTCACGGAAGGGGGAAACATGATCAATTTTTTTAGGCAGAATACAAATCTGATTGCTGAGTTTTGAGTCCGCTGTATTCTGCACATGTCTTCCTTAGTGATACTATTGCCTTATGCAGGAAGCAGTAGTAGACTACTGACAATATCAGTGACTGCATGAGTTGAAGCATTGCAGCCTCAGGTAGCAAACATCTAAACCTGTACAGACCTCTTAGCCTTCCTATTGCTATTTATTTGCGTATCTTAATGTTATCGATTACTCATTTTATCATTTGCATTACTTAAACGTCATACTGTAGCTACCATACGTAAAGTTACCACATACCATTCATACGCTACTAAATAAGATCATGGATATCTTATGAGTATCATAAGATCATATTATTGATACTCACATGATTGGATAAGAATGTGGTACATGAAGTAGATATAGAAAAGATAAACAGGTAGTTAAAATAGTTTCAAAATGTATTCTATCTAACAAAAAAAAATTTAAAATTAAATTTTAATTGAAGTTAATCCTATTTTGTAAGTTAATCGTTAGCTTTTAGAACAATGTATTTATTCCAGAGCCTTTAATGTACGTCCGAGCCCAGCAGTTACAGATTGGTTCTCTGAATCTAAAGCTTTGCAGCAATCAATCGACAACACCAGATCTATCTTAACAACACCTACATTTCAACGAATTACAAATTTTTGGAAATAGTATTGCAATAATTCTTTTGCTACAGTTTTTCTCAGTTACCCAATGAATCTTGTGACGATTATAAATTGGCATTTTAATCCTGTCAGTTAAATATCTAACTGCAGTAGACATGATTTTTTTTCTTTTGTACATGTTTCAATTTGGAGAGGTTCTATCATCAAGAATTTTTATCATGGCGTCATTGTAACATTTAAACTATGAATTTTTCCTTTTTGGTTCATGCATGTCCAATTGTTGCATGCTTAAATGGTATTGTTGTTACAAACTGTTAGTTTTCAATCAATTTTTAATTTTATAAAATAACAGTTTCGAGAGAGTATGAATCATAAAACCAATAAAATTAAAATCCCTGTCTCAATTTAAAGGGTTATCAAGCCAATCAACACTTCCAAAGCTGTTTTCACGGTTGTAAAAAAATTTAATTTATTTTGGTTAGTTCATAGTTAAATTTCATTCAAGCACAGAAAACGCACTGGCTGTGAATTTATTTGCCAACGCAACGCTTTAGGGATTTGGTAGAGCGTTACTCAGTTGCCGATTGCTTGTTTAAGTTGTAATGGAGTTCAGTACACAGGTGTGTAAACGGAATTATTCAATAGGTTTTAATGAATGGTGGGAGCCAATATTTCTTTAAATTAGTTATCAGTTTGCGATTAACGTTATAAGTAATCCAATCAAAACCCACAGCCGTAATTCAGTTTACATAAAACACAGTGGCTAAATAAGTCTGGGCAGTGAGCATGCTTGTTGGTTGATGAAAATATTCATGATTTATTTGGAATGTTGCGTCTCAAATGGACTCTCATGTACTGTATAAATAAATGTAATCTAAATATAAAGCCAAAAGTACCCATGAACTTTTGAGAAAACTACAAGTCACACCCCCATAAACCATATACTTAAAATGTTCGTCATGACGAGAAACCTTGCGCAAAACTATCAATTATTTCATAAATTGCCCTATAAGGTCGAAATTTCTTTCCAAGGGGAACTTTCCATTTACCTTATGTTAAAAATACCTCAGCTGTTATTATTTGTTACTGTATTCTGTACCATTACTGCATTCTGTTTTGTTTATTTCAGCTTAACTTGACCAATCAATAGTTTTATTAATACTTATGTAGTAGAACGGGGTGGAACCCGTGGGTAACAGCTAGTATTTTCTAAGCTTCAATTTATCATTTGCTTTACGAAACCTAAAAAGGAGCAAAAGTAATAGAACATAGTTTATTCATGTAGAAAAATGCAATATTCCATAATAATAATAATAAAAAAAACAAAAAAAAAACAGTGGTCTACATGGCTCAGATGAGTGTCCTAGGTAATATATTATAATTTATACAACAATACTACACGGTTTGTTAGAAACAAGCATTGGTTCTCATGGGAAATTAATTAATGTTGCATTGAAAAACAAGTTAGATAAATTATTGTAATTCTAATGGTCTATACAACTTTTATTCATATTTATTTTCTCTAAGGTGTATTAATTTTTCAACTAACCTCATTTTCCATCAAGTATGAATATACAAGTTTTCCCTTAACCAGTGTTTATATATTTAAAATAATTGGTAGGATAATTTAGGTGTTCTAAATTGCTTGTTGTTGCTGGATCTGTCCACAAATATTGAAATAGACGAGTTGAACATCTCTTTAGAAGGACAATCTTCTGATCTCCATTGTAAATTTCTGCCAGCTGTCATACAATATTTTCACCTACATTGACTTGAATTGTTAAATTTACTACTCAATCCTAGATCGCACCTTATCTCACATTTATCCCTGCGTCCTAAAATAATATACGCATTTTTCAAACCTTAAATACTGTTTGCGCATTTTAAAGCTACATAAATTATATGAAACCAGGGGTTTAACCTATAAAACCTCTTTTATAATAGATACCACAAAAATATTTACAGTACTTTCGATTGTTAACAAAGCTAAAACATTTTCGAAGTAATGTAGGATAGGAAATAGTACGTGGGTAGTGCAAAAGCCAATTGTAGTATTTATTGAGTTTAGTATTTACAAAAACAATTAACGAACAATAAAAGTATAAACAAATATTCGTATGTGGACTGAATAACATCGGCACTTAATATTTCTTAATATTCACACAATGAAGAAAAATATCTCTGAATTATATATTTAATTAATAAAACGTATAAAAATAGTTTATAAATTCGAAAAAAAAATTAAAAAGAAATTGAGTTTCAACTCTTTGTAGACATTATTTTCCGTGTGGTCCTTCTTTTTCAGTTTATAGTCAATGCATTTATCGTTTAGAATTGACTGACTTCCATCATATAAATAGTCTATAAAAGCAAGCCAATGTTTTAATAAACAACACAACCGATCAAACAGTAAAACACATTCATTGAAAACAAATCAAAGCAAAAGTGTACAAAAGATTTTGCAGAAGAAAACATTTTACAACAATAAAAATGACACAGTATTATTGCAATATCACAACCATTTTAAAATTTACATAGAAGCATGTACAAAGCAAAGTGACCTTTTAAAAAGCTGTGCACGAAATTTGAGTACAAAAATATTACGATCTTTTGTTGCATTATTTAAACAGTTGCAAACAGTAACACTAATATATCACAATAATATTTTATAATATTTATACATCGGTTATATTTGAAAAATCATACATATACTGTTTACCAACAAGAATAATTCAGGTGCATTACAACTTTAATATAACAACAAGCAAAGGATATAAGTTATGTTTGGCTTACTATTTTAAACTGGATTAACACGGAAGATTTATAGAAAAATATCAACGTTTTAAATTCCCATAGCAGTTAACAGCTTGCTTATATTTTTCTGTTATTTTATGGTGTTTTATGTTATATGTCTTTACATTATTTAATATAACATGGTAGATTGAGAACCTATTAGCTGAAAGTTTAAAGCTATTTTTGGCCGACCAAAAACAGAATTGGTATTAATTCTATGAATACTAAGCCAAACTAAGAAATGAAACTTTAAGATCAGAAGTAAAAACTATTATCTTACAACATTTAAAAGCGTTCTTATATCAACACTGCAATATCATAATAAAATAGAATATTAATATCAGTAGCCTAATATTATTTGAACACATGACAAAATTTGATTTCGCCTTTTGATATTGAAGTCAGAGAGAAAGACTGAGGCGAATTTAAACTTTTAGGCCGTAGTTGGGGAACGTAGGGGTGTCACATAAAACCCTTGGGTTATGAGACTTTCAGGAATCAAAGGATTATGATGTGAAATTGTGTAAGGAACATTCCGGTATAGAAAGAGTTTTTCTAAATAAAAAAAATAAGTGACATGGAAAATTTACTTTTTCTTTAGCAATTGTTATAAGGTCAGTAACCTCTTTCGGTTACTTTTGTCTAACTATTCGATGTTTTCATTAAACCAATAACCAAGTGTATACAAAAAATAATTAAAAATACCTTCTGTGCCAATCTAGTGATCCCATAGCCATCTTTAATACAAGGCCGCGGCGTTGGTTTGTGGCAACATCGCACCACCTATTACTTTGGTACAGTAATAGCAGTGATTCGGTATTTCTGCGGCCTTAAGAGTCCTTGGAGGCGGTCATCTTTGGATGATTTTAAATAGCGGCTAAAGAGTTACATTTTTAACAACGAAGTAATTATAATTTAAATATCTAGGACACTATTGATCCGGTATCCGGAAGGGAGGGTCAGATTAGACAGTTTCATTGTAGTTTAGATTTTTTTTAAGGGAGCCCATGGAAGCCAAAGGCCATCTTGGATTTGCCCACCATAAGAGCAATGTTAAATTCGTTAATGTCAAACAGCTGCTGAAGAGTTATTTACCATAGGGCCTATCAATTTTTTTTTCAAATACCAAAAGGATTATAATTTAAATATCTAGTGCACTGTTGGATTTAAAAAATTCTTGTTAATTGTTTTTTATGAATTAGATCGTCTAGTCTCCAAGGACTCTTAAAGAGGCTATAATGATCTTGTTTTCAGGTTAGGCGACCAAGGTTTCAAACTTGACGGTTCATTGTTTCAAGGAATATCTAGCAGTTAAAAAGAACTTCTCTCCATTTCTGGGTTTACGGTATAAATTATAAATCATCTTATAACCAGAGAATCAGAAATATTTGCAAATATGTATGTAAGTATTTGAACAAGTAGACTGTAAGGTTGAGGTAGAGTAGACTGCTATCTGTAGCTGCTGTGCTGCTGTCCGTGTCCATAGGGGTAGTGCTGTCCCTCCTGTGCGGGGGACAGCAGCAACCCTCACGTCCTCACATACTTGTACACCACTCCGAACACCATCACACTCACAAGCATCAGCACCAGCGCCGTCACAATCTTAGCGAACGCGTTCAGGCCAGACTCCGAGGGGTCGAGAGGTGGCGGGTGTGTCTGCGAAGGCCGCCGCTTTCCCGCCAAACCACGAGCCAGCGCGGGAAACGCTAAACTCTGCGTGAACGTCAGTTTGTGTATAGACTCGGAAAGGCTGTATGGACCGACACTACCGCGGGCGGCAGCGCGGAGTAGAGCGTACTCTAGGTCTAGAGCGTCGAGGAGGGAGTACCTCGCGGTCACTGTGGAGCTCCGCCTCCGCCGGTCCCACGGGTCGGAGTGTCGCGACGCCAGGGAGGCGACGGCCGCGCCAGCCACACTGGTCATGGAGGAGGCGGTGCTTGGAGAGGAGGGACTCTGAGGTTCCTCCTGGGGCTCTGGAGTGCTGGGACGGCGGATGAGCAGTCGGGCGTGGTCCGGGTGCAGCAAGGTGCTGGAGCGACGTCCCGACACGGAGGCGGACACTGAGGGGGAGGGTGAGGCCGGGGCCACCTGACGCTCACATTGCACTCCTGGAGACGGGCTTGCCTAAGGACATAACATTCTATGAAGCTTCAAAATATAGAATAACATTACGCAATAGTTTTAGGTATTCCCTTATCACATTATCGGCGAATCCATTAGCTATTCAGTAACAAAGAGAATTTTGTTTCTATAAATTTGCCTGAGGACTGACCAATGGTTTGAGTCCTAGGCCCGTCATAGGTAGACGGGGTTTAGAAGACATAGTTCATCGTACAGACTAAATTTCATGTTAGTTTCACCAAACTATGTAGGTATTTTTGAGGTAAGCAAAAGTAATCAACAAGTTAATCAAGCTCAGCTGTGTAATGAAATCTTCGGAGAGTGAATCAACAAAGTTGTGAACCTTTAAATGGAAATTACATTTTAAGTTGTCAAAACTTTCGATAAACTTCTTACTCACAAACATACACTTACTTGACTAAAAATTTTGTAAATAAAAAAATTATGTTTCACTGTATTTGTTTTACGTATAATAGTTATTACGAAATTATTGAGTACTATCTTTGATTATGGACAAAGGTATACACCATATTCCTATGTGAAACTTTAGCTACTTATAAAATAAGATAGAAAGTAGTTCAATTAAGATAAACTGTATTATTACTGTATTATTGTGTGAATAACTGTGTTATTCAACTGTATTCCATCAAACTAAATATTGCTACAGCTGATCAATATAAGAAGGGATGTAGCTACTTAAGTATCCAAACAAATGCATAGCACTATATTATTTTTTCTACTGCATGATAAAGATCACATTGCCACCCCTGTGAACGGTCCGCAAAATGGCTCTATTCCGCTCTAGGGCGGGAATGACCATTTCCGCTCACTAAATCGCAAAATCAGCTGATTTCACAGTTTTCGTTTCTATATAACATTAACAACCGGTAAGCAAATAACATAACCCAAATTACATATTATATATACGTACAAATTATAAGTTATTGCCGCTCTCAGGTAAAGTTTCATGTCATCTACAGTTCTCGAGTGGAAATCACGTACTTTGCGCTCATAGTACACAAATAATTTTCAAATGGTAAATTACCTGGACAGACTCGATACCCGAGTCATTTTGATGAGCCGTCGCCTCATCTGCTGGAAACACGAAGCTTTGCCCGTCGGCCTCCCCTCTAGGTGAGTCCTGACTGGGCCACACTTGCAGCAAGGGCAGGGCACACAGGTGGCCTCTGACCTCTGCCCCTCCACCCTCCTCCCCACCACTGTCCGAGGGCACCGCACTCTGCTTCCTCGTCCCCCACAGTCGCCGCAGATCCCTCAGTGGCATCTGCAAAAGAGTTGTGGATTGTAATAGTTGAAGTTAATCTGGGGTTTTCTTCATAGTTTGTAGGGTATAGTTTAAACCCTGATCAATTATTTAACTACGAACTTATTATGTGCTGAGTAAACTAGTTCCTTTGCCTAGACTATTTTGACTTGTTGACTATTTCTGCATCAATATTCAAGGACTCTTGAGGTGGGTGGAATTTCGACTGGCAGTTGAAGTAAATGTGGCTATTATTTTAAAGAATGAGGGACATTACGGTCAAGGTAGTAGAAAGTTAAATTTGCGATTTGTTTCATTCGTTTACTAACAGTTATGATCACAAATGATCGATGTAATATTTAACACATATTAAAATAGCGTATCAATCAGCTGGTAAGTTAACCAGGGTCAGAAAAATCTTAAACGTCAAGATCGAGAACACCTGGTTTCAATTCTGAGCTATGGAAATGTCGCACCAAATTTCCCTGAGTTTAACTCAGTGGTGAATGAATAATTCCTTCGTTTTCCTAACAGTTTGATGAAAGACGGTGAGAAATAACACTATGCTAGTTTTATTTTACGCTCAAATTAAATATTTTATTTATCCTTAGTTAACAATACAAGTTGTACTGGCTGGGTCAGGTCATAAATTAGAATAAAAGTTTGCTTACATGATACGAATGATTTACGTTAGTCGCCTGTAAAGATTTTCAAACTAGATAATGATCTTACAATGTTATTCATTCACTATACTCATAACATTAAATGTGCAAGTACCAAATACCTGTAATGACCATTAGATTCGCCCAAGAGGGCATTTTACTTCCAGAAAGGCACTTAGGCGGTCCTAATTGCCATCCATTTACGTTTCCCTCCATTTTCTGTCAAACTACATCGTATTGAGAAACTTGTTTTCCCTCCCCTTTGACCATGTTAATAACTCTTGATTGAATACGTTTGGTGTACATAAACTAAATACATAACAAATTTCCCGAATTGGTTTTGTTGAATTGAATAAATTGTAGGTAAGTAAAATTTGTCGAGAATGTTCTTGATTTGTCGCACCCAGAAAATTGCACAAGGTCAATTATCATGCTCAACAAGCATCCAAAGATATTTTACAATAAGTATTTATACTGATTAATTTTTAGACAGTTTTTTGTTTCTTGGCACATTGAATGCTGCTTCAGAGCCCTTTAATTAATGTATAGACTTCTGCTGGTTACTCATATATTTTTTTAAGAGGCTGCCTCTTTTATCCTGCTTTGCCCTGGGCCCATCAGAGATATGTGCGTGGAACGTATCCTCCAAAGCAAGGGGTGAGCCGGTATAGCATAAGGTGAACTGTACTTATAAAATGTATTGTCCGGTACCAGTATCCGAACCCACGACATCTCTGGGCCCGAAGTCTGTGGCGTTACCGACTCACCAATAACATATACCTTGAATAATAAATAACAAGTACGTTGAATAATAAAGAAATTGAAATATAACTGACTAAATAAGTTGAATGATAACTACGATTAAAATTAAGCTTAACGAAGCTTATGCAGTTTGGTTTTTTCTAGAATGAGTAGTAGGGACATTAAATAAAAATTTACTATTGTGGAAAAACCCTTTACAAAACTATAACCTTTCATTAATAAGATTTAAAATTATGTAGAGGTAATTATATTGCATAAATCCTGGAAAGATAATAAACTTATTAATGTACTCCAAACATCTCTGAAGGAGTCTGAAAATCCTCCCTAATAAAATAATTTACGAAAGAAAAAGAAACTAAAAAGCCTGAGGGACGGGACATTGTGTAGTCTGTTCTGTGTGTTTTACTCATAAAAGTCGGGTTATTTCAACGTTCATCCTTTTTTTTAATTCGTTCTGTAACTATTTGTTTTTTCTGTTGTTATTTTTACGATTTGTTTATTTACTATAATTCAAAGCTGGTGTAGTGGTTAGAGTGCGGAACTTCAGTCCCTGAGGTCCCGGGTTCGATCCCTACCAAATCACCAATGGATTTTATCTAAGTGATAATGCCACAACCCCTAGGTCTTATATTTATAAGTAATGTGAAAACAATCCCAGGCTCGTGCCTAGCGTTCAAGGGCAAAAAAAAACATATTCAATTACCAATTAGTCATTAAGTTTCATTGAATCAAAGCAATTCCAACCACTTTAAATAATCGTTTTTCTAGTAGTAAATAATATTTTTTGTTATTTTCCCCGTAAACATATTAAAAAATTGCAAATGTTGTTAAGAGAGTCGTGTTTCAGAGTGAGTGTAACGGGTTTTAAATAAAGATGAGCCGCAAAACTGGCATCATCCGCTGTCGTGAAAACAAAACAAGTTATCACCAAACAAACAGTTGTCTGTGACTGATTACTTCTGATGGGAACGATTTGCTTCCCAACTTTACTAAAATACTTCTCTTCTTATTCTTCACCCTGCAGAATTTATGTACAAAGCCAAATTCTTATTTCTTTTATCCATTAAACAAAGTTTACACATTTGCAAATCTATGGGAGTAACCCTATAAAAACCATTTTTGTAGAAACGCAAATACATTTATTCTATTAGTCATTATTAACGAGTTTCACATTTAAGTTCATGGCCATGTAAAAACCCTTGAACTACAGGATTTGATTACCTAATTATTTAAACTTCAATTACGTTTTCACTTATTTTAAAAATAGTAAAATTTAAACTCTTTTTTCTATTTTTTGGTGGATAAAAAACACACAGTGAAGCTAAGTAAAAAAAAACAAAATGGCTGCAACACTGCTTACTTTTTCAATGAAATACTTGTTTCCAACATCCATCGATTACACCAACTGAGCCGATTACGGTTTTTTAGGTAACGCTCAAACGTAGGTAGTAAATTTACACAGCACACGTCAGGGGGTTTCAGACGTTTTATTTAGCTATTTCGTAAATTTAAATGAACTTTTGATAACGTTAAGCTTACATTTTATGTAAGAGTGTTTGGAGCTTAAAATGTTTAAATCATCCTACATCATAAATGTATTATTAATTAATGGGCTGAAGGCAATTATAGACTGTAATTGTATCCTTTTTATATAAAATGTGTTTTGATGAGTCTTAATATTTATTTCTTGTTATTTCATTAAATGTTTTGACCAATTAAAACGACGATTTTGTAAAAAAAAAAATACTTTTCAAATGATTAAATGACCATAGATTACAGTGAATTCTGTTAAATTCGTGGAAAAATAAGATAAACAAATTAAGTCTACATCAGTGTGCTCAAGCAAGATCAGACCTTAAACCTCATCTAAAACTTGTTTCAACCTATACTTTATAATAGAACGAGAAGACCACTGCCAATATTAAAAGTAAATCTTACGATGAAATTGCCATTATGTAAAGGATATTTACGGATTTACTTTGTATTACTACTTACATTTTAAATATAAAATTAACTATTATTATCTAAATGTGTCTGATTATACTACAAAAGTAATAATAAGTAGACATCTAAATCAAAACCATATTGGCTAAGCATCTTCTCAATCAAATCTAGCTTTCACAACCTACCGGTATTTACGTACTCGTATATTACACTCTTCTAGTATCAAATACATTTGAATACGCGACGGGTATTTTCTAGCTGGAAGTATACTTCCGAAGTTCGTTGTTCTCAATGCACATACATTGTCTCAAGCTGTATTCTCAGCTTCGCCTGCATTATTCAATGAACTTGGTCATACTCTCTCGGCAGAGCTCTCGTGTGTGATTCAAGTACTTCAATCTTAGTTTTCCGTGTTGTTAAAATCTTTCGTAGACAGGTTTTATGCGTATGATGACGTCAGAAAGCAATATAATTGTGTATTTTCAAATATTTTTATTGCATGTAACATATTCGAATATTGTAAATTATTGGTTAACGATTGATTTATTTTTTGTCCCTAATTTTGAACATACTAGCAATAATTAATAAACGTTTAAACTACGTCCCCAAATGGTAGGAAAACAATGTTACAACTATTCGAAAAGATTCCAAAATTAAATTAGGTTTCTTATTACCTCTAGGTGGTTTATGTGAATTTTCGAGCCTCCAGTGAAATTGTAAACGCGACATTATACATGTTTTTCATCTTTGGATTGCAAATTGAACAATTTTAGAGTTTTTCATAAATAAAAATTTCTATTGTGTTATATTTCCGCTTTGTTGCCAACGGCTCATTCAAGTTAAAGGTATCAGACGAAGACAGTGGTTTATATTCATTACTAAGTTAGTTCTCTGCGGAAATCCCGAACAAAACAACAGAGTTTGGAAATTTACAAGTCGGAACTCTGCTTTTGTTTCAGATACAATGACTATCTGTTTAGTATTGTCTTTCAACAATGTAAATTCGTATTGTTAATAATGGAACGTTAATTACTAGGTGAATCTATTAAATAAGTTGTAGACATTTGTTATAAAGAGAATTCACATCAAACACTTTAAATTATTTTAAAATACGTAAATAAAATAACACAATTTATTTAAAGTTTAATACATAACTTTTTCTTCTAATTGAATATTTAAACCTTTTTCTTTTATTTCATTGAATTAAAAGTTTTAAGTGGCGTAGGTAAATAAATAAACAAGTTTTATATAACTGGACAGACAAAGGATTGCCTTTATGAAACACGCGTGTGTATAAATTCTCTAGCATAAAGGTAATATCGCAGTTGAATAAAAAATTTAATTTACAGTTCGATGTAAATTATTTTTAGGCAAAAAATTGATCCATATTTTACGAGCAGTAGCTTAACTTTTAAGTATGAACCTATAAAGTAATAAGGTGTTTAGTATTATCATTAAGTAAACATCTACTCTAAGAATTTTGGTGTATGGGTCCAAAATGTTACCCAGAATCCGACTGACATGTTTTTCAGATTAACCCTTTGAGGTCATTTACCTTGTCATTCAAGCAGTCAGGAAAATGGCGCCCAGCGACATATACTCGCCATTCAACCAAAAAAATTAACTTTTTTGATTTTTTAATATTTTTTTTTT